CCCGTCAATTATACTGTTGCAACTTTATTGAACCTGAACTCCGGGATGACCAAATATTGTCTCTACAAGAGTCAGTGTATTCTGAACCCATGTGTATTTCTGCCAGATCTGTGCAGTAATCCAGTGTGAGACTTGGAGCTTCCTGTAATAAAGACCGGTCACTGCTGCTCTCTCTCCTTGTGCAGGTTGACTGGTCTTGTCTCCGCCCCCTCCTGTAATCAAGTCCCGGCCACTGCTGCTCTCTCTCCTTGTGCCGCGTGAATGGTCTTGTCTCCGCCTCCTCCTGTAATACCGGTCACGGCTGCTCTCTCTCCTTGTGCCACGTGACTGGTCTTGTCTCCGCCTCCTCCTGTAATAAAGACCGGTCACTGCTGCTCTCTCTCCTTGTGCAGGCTGACCGGTCTTGTCTCCGCCCCCTCCTGTAATAAAGACTGGTCACTGCTGCTCTCTCTCCTTGTGCAGGGTGACTGGTCTTGTCTCCGCCCCCTCCTGTAATCAAGTCCCGGCCACTGCTGCTCTCTCTCCTTGTGCCGCGTGACTGGTCTTGTCTCCGCCTCCTCCTGTAATACCGGTCACTGCTGCTCTCTCTCCTTGTGCAGGGTGACCGGTCTTGTCTCCGCCCCCTCCTGTAATAAAGACTGGTCACTGCTGCTCTCTCTCCTTGTGCAGGATGACTGGTCTTGTCTCCGCCCCATCCTGTAGTTCTCTACAAGCAGCCTGTAGTGGGTGGGACTACTGAGCCCCTTCCACAGCTCTGCTCTCTGCACAGGCTATGTACAGCACAGTGGTGATTTCACTGCTACTTTAACAAGGTAATATCTGGGTCTACAAAGGCATTTGGTGCACATAAATTGGATTTATATCGTTTATAGCCCTAGTACATGAGACAGCGGTGAGCATCAGCTATAGACATGAATCTGATCAGACCGGCTCTGTGCCTTGTGATCACTGTGATTGGTGAAAGGAGGAATGGGAGACAATGAGAACTAATAAATTAATGAATGAGTCATGTGTTCATGATGAAAACAAGCTACAGCCACAAATAATAAAGGTTCTGAATCATTTTTGACCATTTCCCCTCCCCCCCCCTCTTTCCAGTATATATCAGCTCCATTCTGCCTCCGGTCTGACCTGTATATTAACCCCTTCACTTCCCTTATCCTGCACATCCAAACATTCACCATCTAATTCCCACTCCGCCATTGTATGTGACCCATACATTAACCCCTTCACCTCCTCCCTCAATACCGGCATGTTTCTTCATTTCCCAAAAATTGTGGCACAAAATGAGATCACCCTGGGGTGTCTACTTTCCAAAAGGAGTTCATTTTCATACTGTCCTGGCATTTATTTGCCATGATTTATAGCAATATTAATAATAACTTAACTGATGTTATAACAAAATTAAAAGTTTATTAAAATGGATTTTGGCCTTTTTTTCCCTTTACATAGTAAAAAATAACTCCCCCCCCCCCCCCCG